TTGTTGTCCTAGCCCTAGCACGGAAGAAACAATAATGGCTGGTCGTCAGTGCAAGTGGTTGGTTTAGATATTGAACTTGAAACCAGAAACTTGTGACGTGCACCTCCCTTTGTTGTTTCTGTTTCCACCCGAAACATAGTTTCGTGTGGCGTTGCAGGGCATGAAAACTTTGAGTGCAAACAAAAAAGAGAAGGCTTCAATGATTGCTCACCACTCCTATTTCAACGCACGCCAAAGAAAGAGCAGGGGATATTTGGGTGTGGTAGCGGAGGTGTGGTAAGCGGAGTTTCAAAGACCCATGTGAACAAACACTCTTTGTTTGTGGAAAATGCTTCCCTGCAATGATCTATTCTTGGGCAGTCCTTTGCCCAAAAAGGCGTGTAATAGGCTGCTCTTAATTTTTGCTAGTCTATCGCGCCAGGATGGACAAGTTTGTCCTTCCAAACAAAACCCCCTCTCGAAGAAAATGTCAGCCACATGGGTTCCAAACCAGCTATCGATGTTCATCCAATTTTAAGTTGGACTGCTCTGCGCACGGCCAAAGGGAAGTTACTTATGGACAGGAATAGAGCGGTGATGTTTGTGTCAAGCCTTCGGACCCCCACATCTACCACAACCTGCAATTGGCTGGGTGCTTCGGGCCTGGTTTTAACTTCAAACAAACCCGCGGCCCAAACGAAGAACTTTTCAGCTGAGAGTGAGCGAGTCTATACCACTTAGAGAACGTTAGGGGAATTCACAGATTGAATGGAAGAATGATCTCAGGTACTTGAAAACTGCAATAGGCAGCGCCTATTATGCATGCAAATTTTCACAGGCGCAAATCAACATCCACCATGGGGATCTGAGACCCCCATTCATTTTGAGACCCCCTATGCAGGGAAAACCCTTTTGGATCAAACAACTCAGACGCCTTCAGGCATATGCACAGATGCACCATGCACATTGCAACCCAAATAGCAATTGGCTTGAAAGGAAAATAGGACAATGGCGTGCAATCTCTCGGGCATCGGGCTTCCCGCCTAGTTTTGGCCAATGGTGGACGAGCAAAGCAAAGCATGTCTTAGGACTGCCAGTTTGTTTTCCTGAACTTCCGCCAAACGGCGAGGTCGCTCGACTTTTAGCCCTGGACTTTCAACAAGATGTGCATGCTTTCGAGCAGTGTTTGTTGCAAGCAAGGATCACCACTGCCAAGCAGAATCGCCTGGACAATCCAAACCGGATTTTCCAGGACCTTCGTACCACCCAAGCCGAACCTGTTCAGATGCTGCTTGCACACAGCACTGCCACTGTTACGAGTGTGGACACGGACGAGTGTGCACTGGTACTCGATTCAGCTAATGCTTTTCGATCAGACCAGACCATTGAACATAATGGTAAGCCCCTCAACATAGTCCACTATGATAGTGATAAAATATGGCTGGCTAATCCGCCGAGCGCACAAGTCGGAGACACGCTGTCACAATCAACACCGGTCACCGACTTGGATGAAATCTACCAAGCATTCCAAAAGGAATGGCTCCACCGATGGGACCGACATGCCAACGCCTGATGAACAATGGGACCCCATTGTGCAATTCGTAACTGCCGCAGTGCCAAACCCACCGACCATGGCATATAAGCCAGTAGATTATGAGACATGGCAGCATGCTGTTCGTAAAAAGAAAGCCAGGGCTGCCATTGGCCCGGATGGAGTCTCAAAGTTGGACCTCCTCGCGCTCCCAAGAGATCATGTGGAACCCATCCTGCAGCTGCTATCAGCTATTGAGCAGGGAGACCTTAACTGGCCGCAACAAATAGTCACGGGCCATGTGCACGCCCTAGAGAAAATCCCAGATGCCTGGAAGGCCAGCCAGTATAGACCTCTGACAGTTTTCTCCATCGTATATAGGACCTGGTCTTCGATCCGAGCAAGAGAAACCCTGTCCTACCTCAGCCGGTTCGTCCCAGACCACATCCATGGCAACGTCCCCGGGAGGTCTTGCACAGACTTATGGCTAGGAATGCAACTGCTCATTGAAGAATCGGCCTGTTCCCAAACCCCCTTGGTAGGAGTCGTGGCCGATTTGGTAAAGGCCTATAATTTGTTGCCTCGCCTGCCACTATTGGCGATAGGTTTGCACCTCGGATTGCCTCGACCCATCATTCGAGCCTGGGCCCAAGCTCTCCACCAGATGGAGCGGGCATTTAGTGTGCGGGGCACCATTGGCCCACCACTTCGGTCCACCACAGGGTTCGCTGAGGGGTGTGGATTGAGCTGCAGTGCAATGCTCATTTGCAATATTGCCCTGTCACGTTGGTTGTACATTAGATGCCCTTCAGTCCGCCTATGGTCTTATGTCGATAACTTAGAGCTTACAGCCACCACCTTGGCTGATGCCACACAGGGACTCGACTTGATGACGCAGTTCTGTTCGCTTTTGGATCTGCAGCTTGATGACGCCAAAACATACTTTTGGGCCAACCAGGCTGATGAACGAGCTCAAGCTAGACAGAACCAACAGGCACTGCAGGCCTCATGCCGCGACTTGGGGGCGCACATGGAGTATGGTAGGAAAACCACCAACCACGTCCTCCAAGCTAGACTCGCCAAAATGCCGAGAGTATGGGCTGCCCTGGCCAGATCAGCAGCGCCGTATCGACAAAAGGTCTATGCAATACGCACAAAAGGATGGCCACAGGCCCTTAGTGCCGGCACATCTGCAGGCTTGGGAGAAGCACATCTCAGAACATTGCGAACAGGTGCATGTCGAGGCCTTCGCATCCATGCCCCGGGCATTAGTCCTATGGTCCACCTGTCGCTTGTAGAGCATCCCATGACCGACCCAGGGTGCCATTTGCTAGTTAGCACGGTGTTCACTTTTCGTCGCCATGCCAACCATGACAAAGTGAGCACACTCGTTGATGACATCCTTGGTGATTGGCAAGAGTTGCCCCACAGGCCTGGCCCGTGTCATGTCCTCTTAGATAGGCTGCGCATTATCGGTTGGAGATGGGTAGGACAGGGATGGGTAGTAGACCAAGCTGGCCAGCTGCTGGACCTCCTGCAGGGTGCTTCGACAGAGGTACAACAACGTCTGTGCGATGCATGGCAATTACATGTGCAACAATGCGCCAGCCGAAGGAAAACCTTTCAAGGCCTTGAATGGGCCAGTGCGGCATTCACGCTCGAGAAAGTGTCATCACTCAGCCAAGCCAAACTTGGCCTCCTTCGCACGGCGTTGAATGGAACCTTCTTTACGGCTGACACACAAGTTCACAACGAAAAGGCCCACACTTTGACCTGCAAGTTCTGTGGAGCATCAGATTCACAATTCCATAGGTTTTGGGAGTGCCCTGTACTTGAGCCACATAGGCCTTACCCATGGTTAACAGAGCAGGTGAGAGCGGGGGGGCTGCCAAATTGTTTGACATATCATGGGTGGATGGGCCTGCCACAGTCAGTCCGAGAGTTTCGTACCTCACTTCTTCGGCAGCCTGACCTGACCAACCACTTCGATATGCCCCCGTTTCAACCACGGGATTTGTTTGTTGATGGCTCCTGCGTTCGACCAACATGCAAGTACACTCGAGTGGCTGGGTGGAGTATGGTTGCCGCTGATCCTTCTGATATGGACCAATGGTGGCCGATAGCACAAGGCATCGTGCCGGGATGGAAGCAGACGAGCGGAAGGGCAGAAATCTTAGCAGCAACCTCCGCAGTCCGTTTTGCGATCTCACAGGGTCGCCATGTGCGGATCTGGAGTGATAATGCTCAAGTAGTCGATACACTGAGTCAAGCCCTGAGCAACCAAGCCGGCTGTCCAATGCCGACCCAGGATCAAGATTTGTGGTCACCGCTCTTTGCCTTGGCGCACACCGCCTCACCTGACTTGGTACAGATTCATAAAGTGTCCAGCCATCAATGCATGGACAAGGCCTCCTGGCTAGAAAAGTGGGTCTTTACCGGTAACGATAACGCCGATCATGGAGCCCATCATAGCACCATGTATCCCCAGCAGGTCTTTCAACAATGGCGCACGGCAGTCGCCGATCTCGAAGCGGCCAGCATACTCAGGGATCAAATTCACTCGAATATCTTGCAGGTAAGTGAAGAGGCAGTAACCAAAGCCTCCGCTGAGCAACCACCGCCTGATGCTCCCATGAATTTCCCTCTCCCACTGACCGAGGTGACCCTAGCTGCGTTGCCAGATAGACCTCAAACAGCGACCCACAAATTGGTGGGCGATGGGTGGGACCGGCTCGCCCGATGGTCCCAGACCTTCCAAAACAATCAGGCCCCAGCTGTCCACCTTCCCTGGCTGTATATGCTCATGGATTTTGTCTTGACCACCGATTGCGGTGGAGTGAGGCCGGTTCGTAAGTACACCACTTGGGAATGGCTGTCCAGGGCCAACGCTAAGCAATACGAGCTTCAAGAACGTGTCAGGTGGTTCCGAATCTTTCTACTTAGGATCCACAAAACTGAGCGGGTCATGCTGACGACCCAGTACGTGAGGCCTTCATCGCGGGTTACGGTGTTCTGGGCCCACTGCCTTACCGCTCGCATGGCCACGGATCGCTTCAAGGCCGTCGAAACGCACATCCAAAAGCACAAAGCAGTGCTCACCAGTGGAGTAGATCTCTTAGCAATCGAGCTTTAGAGATTTTCCAGGGATCAAGGCATCCCCCGCGAAAGCTGCGGAGCCTGAGCCAATCGGAAAATCGGAAAATTGGAGGCCATCGCTATTAGGTTGGAGGACATTGCTATTATATAGGCTGGAGGCCATCGCTTTTAGGGTGGAGGCCATCTGTATTATGTTGGAAGCCATCGCTATTAGGGTGGAGGCGGCCATCGCTATTAGGGCGCAGGCCTTGGCTATTAGGTTGGAGGCCATCGCTATTAGGGTGGAGGCCGTGTCTATTAGGTTGGAGGTCATCCCCAACCTAGAAATTTTAATGGCTGCCTTGGCATTTCTATATCTGTTGTATTCACCACGCAGTCTGCATGCAACTTCTTCCTGCAACCCAAGGAGGATGTTCGGCCTCTCCGCCAGACGGAGGACCTAACAGGGTCCGGAGTCGGAGTTCTCGCCACGTCTCCCCGTCTTTACGCAGCTCAGAACAGATTTTATCGTTCGTTCTATTGTCTTCTTTTCTACTATTCTATCTACTATATTAGTAAGGCACCTTGCTACTACTAGTCATGCCTTTGTTACTATAGTAGCTTATTGCTACTACTTAGTAGTATTGCCAGGAGTTACTAGTAGCTTCTTGTTTCTACTATGGTGTTCTACCATGCGATACAATCACTTCATGTGTCTTCTCTCACTCCCATTTCAATCCTCTCATTCCGGCCATTGAATCCCCTTGCTGTTACGCATCATAAGGTCTCACCTCCTGCCATGAGAGTATTTTCTGTTTGGATCGGGAGCATCTGAGGGTTCAAGCCGACTTGGGCACTTGGCCGCTGAAATCATTGCTTTGCAGCCTCGGATGGTGAGATGAATCAACCAAACGAACTTATCTTGCAAGATTTCTTGTCGATTCTGAGCTGTTCTGAGTTTCTGTGCTTCTTTATGCTTCTTCATGGAGGCCTTCTGCCCTCATTTTGTGCTTGCAAACGGGTCCCCGTAAGGGTTTGCTCTCTGCAGTCCAGCGTCTGAAGCTTCACGAAAGGCAAGGTGCCCAAAGAGGCTGGGATTGGACCTTCCAGATTGTTGTCGTAGAGGTCCAGGGATTCCAGGTGTGGCCAAACGACTGCAATGTTCTCCTCGGACTGGAAAGCAACACACGTCGCAAGTGTCCCGGACAGTAGCGCAACGGCACAAACGCATCGAAGGTCTTGCAGTAAAGATGCTGGAATGACCCCTGTGAGGAAATTTCCATCCAACCAAAGCTTCCGGAGGTTCCTCCAACCCAGCTGGAGGAATTCCTGCACATTCGAATATGTTTACAGCGAAACTTGCAAGGTGTGAGGCCTTTGCACCCCGCCTCGAAGGCAAAGCTGTAAGAAGCAGCAGGACATAGAAAGCTAGGGCCTCACGATAGAAGCAGCACACATGGCATGAACTTGGGAGGAGCTTCATCTCCACTTCAGAAACGCACGATACTTCAAAGTGCATGAAATGCTACACGTAGAGGAGGGATGATAAAGATATCTGAATGACAAACACAGGCATCTCAAAGGCTCTTCAGGGATACCGCATGAGAGCACTGTCCATTCAGCCTCTTGGGGCATTGCAAGCAACACGCTCAAAGCAACAATGACACAATGAGACATTGTGAGACATCATGAGGCACGGACACCAACATCATGAAACAACGAGATGACACCGTCACCGGATGGACACCTTCTTGGAAGTTGTCCCAATGACCGGTGCTCTCTGCCATGCCCTTCTTGCCCTTAGTCCGAGAAACTGTTGGAACGCCGAATTGGCGGGCGGCTTGATGCCTAGTTTCTGCCAATAACACATAAAGAGCGATCTCTTACGGCATCTCTTTCCTCCAAACTTTTGCCCTCTCTCTCTCTCTCTCGATTCTGCCCAGGATCATCCTTGGTGGCATGCCTGGTCTCCCAGGAAGCTTTGCAGCCACTGTTCTCCACATGCAGAAGCGCACAGGGCACCATCTCCTCATTTTGGCACCAAACAGAACGGGAGAAACACGGCAAATGGCGCCTCTGGTGGCATCTGAGGATTCCAGGATGTTATTCCTTAATCCCGTATCATTAAGTAGTGTTGTCACAGAAGCCTGTCTATGTGACGTCTATCCAAGGCTCCCATTGCCGAAAGGCCACGAAGGAGTTCAATGAAGACAGGTCGCGCAAAGCTGTGGGTGGCAAGGACATCATGCAATTGGAACCTTGCCCGGCAAGCTCCCGCAACAATAACAAGCAAACACGCGCGCGTCGTGCATTGTATCCATCAATGGGCAACCTCTCAAGCAAGCTCTTCAAAAACCGACTGCAACCGATCAATGGCTGCATTGGTCAGTGAATCGTATCAGCAACAAACATGCCCCTCCAGGAGCAGAAAGCACAAGACTCTTTCCAGTGGTTTGGGAAGGGGCTGAAGGTTGATGAAAGTTGTACTCTGGCCTTCCTTCCTGCGGAGAGTGTAAGATGCAGTTTGCATCCAAAAGGAGCAGGAACCAGAACTGTGCACCAAAAAGCGGGTTCTGCCCCTTGCTGGGTCTACTATTATTACTCGATGTGCATAACATGATTCATGACTTTGCCAGCCATACGAATCTCCAGCATACTCAGTGGAGTCCTTATCACAAGAGCGTCACAGATTCTGAATTCTGGGGTGTAAGAGATGCACTGCAAATTGTAACCGTGTTTGGACTTGATCACCAGATATATACTTGGCCGTTGTCCCTTCCTGCTGCACTGATTGCCCTGTGGGCATGTCCAAAGTCAAAGTCAACACCGCTTAAACTGCTTAGTGACTATACATTTTGCGTTGGGCAACTCATGTGAGGCACCAGGAAAGGTGAACTCAACACTTGGCTTCACGCTCCGAACCTCTTTTCTCGTCTGTGCATTGGCTGTTCATTGATTTCCGGAGCTCTGAGTGCTTGGACACTCTGAATCACTTGATGACAACTCGCTGGATTCGCTCCAATAGTCATCGAGATCCTCTCTTCCGCCACAACTGCTCCCAAGACTAGAAAGAGTCCGGCTGGCCATGTTCACCAGCCGTCGTGTCTGCCGGTAGGGCCCTCTTCTGCATGCGTCAACTTTGGACCCAATGAAGGCACCAGTAAGACTGACAAAAGCGAAGAAAGGCACTGAAGATGTCTCACCCACAGCTGTCAACAAGGATGGTTCGTGTAGAGATTCGAAGCCCATCCTCTGTAGAATCGAAACATTTTTCAGCTCATCGACGCCTTGCAGCAGCGCAATCAGGTAGGGCAACAAAAGCGCACCAATTCCGCAAAAGAACCACAAAGTCACAGTTTGACGCATCCAATCTGGGCTTTCATTGGAGCATCGAAGCCATAAAGGCAGAACGCCTGCCACGAGAAAGGCTGAAAAGACGCTCAAGTAGACCCAATGGTGGTCGATCTTTGCTCTTGCAATGCCCATTTGAGTCAAACGAGTACAGCTATCAAGCCCTGCAAGGCACCAAATTAAGGCTCCAATGGTCGCCTTTGCTTTGAGATTCAAAATGCCGGCACCTCGGATATCTTCCCCCGATTCGTAGGCATCACGAAGGGTTTGAGTGTATGCGCCCGCCAGCATCAAAACGCGGATGGCCACGTCCACATCATCTTCCGAGCCCGAAATGGCTGAGCGGATTCGTGCTTCGTCTGCTTCGTTGGTGCACTGAGCCTGCTGCACTGTCTGATGGGATAAATTGTTGGCTTGATCTGTGAGTTGTTGAATCTCCAGCAACTGCAAGTTCAAGTGAGAAATGCAAATAATGTTGAAAATCACTATGACACATGGGATAAAGAAGTGAAGGAAGCCTGCCGTAGCTCCCCAACTTGCGTTGTACTGTATGGACCACCATGGAAGACAGGTGGCACCTGCTAGGCAAATGATGACCAAATGACTTGCAAGAAGTACTCGGACAAAGGTCGTCCATTGCGGTGGCACGAGCGCCGAGGCTGCGGAGACCAAGGAAAGAAAAAGAGACGCCAACAGAACCTGGAGGACTCCGTCATCGCCAACAAAGGGGATAAGGAGAAAGCGCCATGCGAAGGTAAGCACAAGGCTGACAATTGCTGGGAGTGCGAGAAGCCGAAGAAAAGACTTCCTAGATCGATGAAAGTGAGGCGTAGCTGGCATCAAGCAAATCTTTCCCTTGGTGATGCCCAAATACGCTTCATAGACACACCAAAGCCTGCTGTAGATACTTATCTTGGTGTTTGGGACGACTAAGATGTGGGAAGCTCTCGCCAAGGCTTTTGCAAAAGGACTTTGCAGTACGTCGACATTGAGGAAGTGCTCCATATCCAAGTTCTGTGGATTTGCAAGCAAACAAATGTACATGTTCCTCAAACCTCGGCCACCAGGCCAAGCACATTCCACACCCAACGCTAACTCAATAATACCCTCCACCCACGCATGTGATACAAACACTTGGCAAGGCAAGCCTTCAGGATGAAGAGACAAGGCATAACTCATGCCTCCAGCTGCCCGGGTTCTGGGCTTCACGAAATGCTCATTCACCAAATACAAATTTGGCCCATGGTTGGAGTCCTCATGCCAGGCGTCCGGGAAAACAGGGCTATTGGGGATCTCCCCCATGGACCAAGCGAAGCGAACATCCTCCACGAAGCCCAAGAACTCCGAAAAGGTCACACACCAAAGGTCAGCAGGCACCCGGGTGTGAAGCTCCATGGCATGAGGCGTGAAAGACCGGGGGTGATGAAGGGTTATGTAATAGTTATGGGATTCTTCGATTTTTAGGAAGACATGGAACGTACTTTCTCTCGGTACGGATTTTGGACCACTTGGCTCATTCGTCTCCACAATCTTTGACTCCTCAGTCTTGAGCCCTTCGTCTCCACATGTACATCCAAAGAAGTTGCCAAACCAAGTGCCGTCCGGTGCCTTCATCCATTCCAAGTTGAAAGTTTGCAGACTTTCAGTCATGCTGCCGAGTGGCAGTAGAAGGTCCGAAGGTTCTTCATGCGGCTCCAGCAGTGGGGTAAGGTGCCCCCGACGACTTGGATGACCTTTCCCAGTTAGCCCCATCGAGAACTAAAAAACATCAAAGCAAATTCATGCAAATTCCTTACGCAACAAGACAACATAAAGGATCTGCTCCGGAAAATCGTGTTTTGCACATTTCGAGGTGCAAATGCGCTGAAGTGGGCTAAATCGAATGCGCACAAAGAAGTCAAATCAGTTCTTGTCCATCTCCGTTGGTCCTTCAGCTGGCGACAGGCTGCTTTTGGCCAAGCCGATGAGTCTCAGTCATAAGCCACGGCGTACCGCTGCTGGCTGTCTCGTGATCGCAAAGAACGTGTGCTTTCATGGGCGTTTAACATGCCTTCATGCAGTATAATTTGCAAGAGTTCTCGGGGAGATTCGCAGTCTTTTCCCCTAAATTGAGTCCATCCCGTGCAGATGCAACAAAAGGATCCACCACGGGATCAGCTCACGAAGTTATACAATTTTGTGTGACTCATGCGAACTTCGTTTCTGCAGGCAGCCCGATGACCGCAACAAACGGCCAACTGCATGCTAGGGCAGGCCGATAGCCAGAAGAGCCTAGGCTGTCCTGTATGCCATGGATCTGTATGCTTCGCAAGGTCGTGGGAGCAAAAAGCGCCTCCACGGCACCAGCTTGTGGCTGCACCAGCCGCAGGAATTCAAGTGTAGAATTGGCAATGCCTCTCACGCAGGGGCAGTTGCTGGCCCTTCACTGACCGTCAACTGACCTTCACACACCCAAGCCTTTCACAGCCTTCTCGTTGGCGTTGTGGAGCGTCAACGCGAACCTAGAACGCAGCAACCGTCTAGAAGCAATCCGAAACAAAAAAGCAAATCCGAAAAAGCCAATGGCGTGGAAACCGCTGCCATCAATGTTTGACAGTGGGAAGCCAAGACCAAATGTACACTGTACCCCTCTCCAATCCAATGGAAATTAATTCAACTATAATTTTCAAAGGGACAAGTGTGGCAATTGGTGGAGTGCAGGCCACGGCAAGTCGTCATCAATCTCCATGGCCACGATGCGGAGATGACCGTCAATCCATCGGCATGCGATGCGACCTGTGCAGGGCATGCAATATATATATATATTGTTATCTTTTTGTCATTTTCTTTAAAGCCCGCTCCCCTATTAGGTTGGAGGCCATCGCTATGCGCGGGGGTGGCCGTAGCAGGCTTATATAACTAGCCAGTAGTAAGGGTAGCTACTAAGCTTAAGAAGCTACTGGTTGCAGGAATGCCCCCCCGAAGCCCTTGCACTATTCATTGGTTCCTATTCTTTTTGCGATTTGGCATTCTATCTATGATCCTCTCTGATTTTCTTTATCATGTTCTTTGTCTTTTCCTAAGACCATTTAGACCTTTCTTTTTACCCGTGTTTGTTACCCTCATACTACTTGTTTCTGCTGCTCTTCTTCCTTTTGTTTTGCCGTGCATGTTTCCATGCAGAAAAAGACAAAGCCTGGCTTAGTGGCGTGCAAACCAAATTCCTACATCAAAACTGGACACAAAGAACGAGGGCCTAGGGGCCTGGCCTCCACAAACTTCTGGAACCACTGCATAGTCTTCATCACAGGGGCGCCCGTGATCTCCAAAGTAAAACAACAATCGGAAAGACGTTAGATTCCTCAGTGGTGACGCGTCTTCTCTCGAATGCACATTCCCAAATCCCAGCAAGTCACAACAAACAAACAATCAGGTCCTCCAAAACTAGATTATTGCTATTACATAGCGGAGAGGAAACGGCATCAATTTTCTGAACCCAAATGCGAGTTTGTGCTTTCTTCAGTACTTGGATTGCCCCATGCTTGTTTGGTAACTTAGTAGCGTCCGACCGCTCCGTTCGGTTCGCGATGCCAGTTTCGCCCCTCTTCCTTGGCATCCGATCGCTTCAGTGAAGCGTTCAGAGGATTGAGGGTTTTATGCATCGGCCCGATGAACGTGGCCCTGGGAGTTGAAAGAGACGCGTGGGTAGACGAAAGAGACGAACGTCAGATGCGGTAGACCGGAGACGTGAGGTGGTGCAGTGTATGGTTGCTCAATAGACCGGTGAAGATGCGGTTTGACACAACTGAGGATAGATGCACTCAAACAACCTTCTACATGCGACCACTTGCCTTTGACAGCTTCGCTATGCTTCGCTGGTGTACTCGATCAGCAGGGTGTTCTGCAAGTGTTAGTCTCCGTAGGGTGGCAAAAAGCACGAATCACCATCACACGCCTGACGCCTGGGATAAATTTATCCATGGGTGACCTTGATTTTTATTGTCTTGGCGCCAAACAAGTTTCGAATTGGAAAACATCTCTCCGATGAGGATTTGTATGGATTCATCAAAAGTGTGTTTTCAAACAAAACTTCCTTGACACTTTGACATGGCACCACTGCTGGATGCCGAAGGTTCGGCAGGTGTCAGCTTCTCCCGAAGCACAATTGTGAAGGATGTGGTGCCAATCGTCGTCGTTCTCAGAGAAAAGCAAATCCTGCCGAGTCTTAGCCAAGAGATGCCAAAAGTCTTTGCTCCCAGGTTTCCCACATGATTCCACTGCACATACCTACCTCCTGACTAGGCCAGCTGCCATCAGGATGAAAGACATGGTGCCTCGAGGTCCACGGCATCTGGATCTCCCACGCTCAATGGCTCCAGCAGTGGGTTGGGTGCGCTTGGCTCTAAGGTGTGAGAGAATGCGAAAATATAATCTGGATATGAACATTTTGTCTGCAGGAGTGCTTAGCCACTTGCTTTGCGCTCACCAGGAAGAGAAAAAAACCAATGATCCTCCAAGTCGCGAGGGATTGAAGCCCCACAGTTGCCACCTGTGACATGCGAGGCAACCTACTAGCGTTACAAGCCTGACCAAAAGCTACCGCCATGCATGCCACACCTGCCACGCCAGAGCTACAGCTAACCGCCAAGTTCCAAAGCCATAGCACAAAGGGCTGGAACATTGCAGCCTCATGGTGCTCTGGAGCTACCAATTAATTTGGCTTCTACGTCTTAAATCACGGGTGAATGGTGTCTTTGTAAGCCTGGTGCTGGTCTTGCAAGCTGCTCAAATCGGAGACTTGGAAGTGGTTTGTTTGTTATGAAGAGGCAAGTTCAAGGGCTCAGGATTGCTTAGCTTAGCTAGGATCCACCTTTGCCCCAGACACGTCTGTGTCGTCCTTTCGGGCCCGCGGTTGCTAGCGCCATACCCGCGAGTCCAAGCTGGCACCGGCAGCTGCGAGCTAAACGCTCACGTGCTCGGCGGTTCCTCGCCAGGCACAAGGATCGACCTACCCTGCCAGTCCGTGTGCGGGGACGGTTCAGCTTCCTGAGGAACTTCCTGCAACGGCATCACTCACGGCCCTTGTACAAGGTTGCCTCAGACCTCTCACCTGCCTTGAGATCAGTGAGAATGACATGGAAGAACAAGCCATGGAATCCACGCGCTCAAGAATGGAAGCAAGCGTGGGAGAAAGAAGACAAAGAAAAAGTTGCCAAGAAAGGCAAGGATACAGAGAAAGAGAAGTCAGTGGTGTACGCACACGATGGAAGGAAGCTTGTCCTTCCTATGCAAGGCGCCAGTGGCAATGGCTCTTCCTCGGCATCCTCTACCTCTCAGGAGGAGTTGAAGCAGCTTCGCGAAGCAGTCAAGTTCTTTGCTGGACAGAAGGAAGGAGAGAGCAAGGAAGTTCCAGATGCCTACAAGAAGTTTGTAGTGGAGAATCCACGCGATGTACTTCGAGAACAGCAGAAAGAGCTCAACCGCCAAAAGAAGTCTCTCACCCGCATCGAGAAGCTCCAGGCTTCCATTGCCGACAAAGAAGAGAGCTATGCAGCCTGGAAGAATGGGTATCTCGAGATGATCCAGCAAGAAGACAAACGCCATGCAGAAGAGATCAAGCAGCTCTACTCCGAGCTGAAGGAGGTCGAAAAGGGTGGCGATGTGCTGGAGGATGCGGAGCCTCCCACAGAGTCAGCTATGAAGCAGGAGCTGGACCAGATGAAAGCACAGGTTGCACAGATGAATTACTACTTCCATGCTATGGAGCAGAAGAACCAAAGTCTGGTGGGGCAAATGCAGGCCTTGGTGCAGACACTCCGGGAGAACCAGCAGAGCGACCCTGGGGCCCTCTCGCCTCAGCATGTTGTACCACCGAAGCTTGCACATCCACCAGAGTTGAGTGCTGGCGAACCGGAATTGTGGGGTACACCAGGTGGGAAGAGAGATCGTTCCCGGTCACCATGCAAGGCTCACCCAAAGCAGGCAGACAAGGAGGCCTTGGAGGCTGTGACGCAAGCGACTCTTGCACAGATGTTGCATCATGTACCAGCAGAACACCATACTACCATTCTTGCTATGATCCAGGCAGAGCCGCAGAATTACCAGACTACCGAACAGGTAGAGATTCTGGGACAGCAAGTGATGGCACAGATCGATGGGCCAGTCGATTTGGGAGCGACCAAGCCCCCAGGTCATGGTTGTATGCGAGGGCCTTTGCAACCCTTCGGATCGGCAAGAGTGTCTCCCTACACGACCCCGAAGAGGATGCGTGCAGTGAGTGCTTCAGTCAGCACCGAGCGAAGGCGTTCCTCTATACATGCTATGTCGTAGAGGTGTTCTCCTCTTCTGCAGATGGCAGTAATGGGGAGTATGATCGTGAAGCTATGCCGAGCTCTCTTACCTGGTGTGACTCGTGCGCCACTTTTCAAGGTTGCAGACGCATTAGGTATAGTTTCTTTTGCTTTGACATTCCACCCTCTTGGGGTTCTGAGGGTGGTTGCTGCTACGTGCCTACCCCTGGCTTTCAAAAGTCTTGTAGAAGTCAGGGTTTTTTGCCTTTACAGTGTGGCGCCCAATTTCAAGGCAGCCGCACCTCTATATCGTATCCCAGCCTGAAGAATGAAGCTGCATTTGAACAACAGACAAACTCTTCAAGCTGCATCCGTGGCATTCGTGATGATTGCTGCAATCATGATGGTGAAGATGGACATTTTGAAGATCTGGGTAGCGACTGCTTGAGCAAGCATTCCTTTGCGCTATGTTTGCAATTGTATACCCTACTCATGGCTTTCGCATGTGTTTACAGCATCCAGTCATTAGGTGATGTGCTAGGTACCTTCAAAGCAATATGGAGGGGACAACGCCTTCACCGACTGCCAAGGCAAGGTGTCCTTTGGGATGCTATTCTTGGTTGCCTTTTCTCGAGCGCTCTTGAAGGTGTTTTGCTGGAATGTGCGAGTTTTGAGCCTAATCACGATAGCTTTGATGGAGCGAAGGTTCTTGTTTTCCTCTTCCGCAGCCAAGTGGTCTTGATACTTTGGCTTGCTGTGACTCTTTGCTACCGGAGAAGATATGATGAAATAATGCCTCTCCCTGGCAGAAGCAGATTTGCCCAAGGGAGACGTTTGCCATACCATAGGCATCGTGTTGCTAAGGTCAGATGGTTGCACCTTTTCCTTCTCCTACAGATTGTCTCTGGGGAGGTTGTTGAGGTTGCGAACACTGTGCATCGACATGGTGTTGATCATACTGTCACTGAGCATACTGAGGGGCAAGTTGTCTTTTCGCCTTACGGACCCTTGCACCAGTTGAGACAAGCTAAATGTCATTCAGAAGGCCCTATCGGTGGTCATAATACTGTCCTTGCTGATGGTTCGTGGCCTCTCGATGCTCCAGGTTTCTGTCGAGCTAATTCACCTTACGGTGATGCAAGTTTTGTCCTACGTTTTGTGTCCACCACTGACACCAGTTCAGCTGCCGACTTCCGTAGGGACCATGACATTGTGAGTTATATGCAGAGACCAGTTCTTAGGGACCATCTCGCTGAATATGTCCTTAATGTCTACAATGCTGGGCATTGGCAAGTTTCGACATGGGTGCATTTCTGGGATCAGAGAAACCAATGGTCCTTCCTACATAGGCCCCTGCAGGTTAGTCTCATGCAACCTATTAGGGAGCAGCTTACTAGAGCTTGGAGGGACTATCAAGTCCGGCCCAGTGTGCATGTCGTCACTGTCCGCCCTGTGCCAA